TATCACATCTTGTATTATCTCTCTAATAGAGATATGCTAATGTTGATATGCTCTACGTATGTTAGAGAAAAGAAATAATATATATGTGATATGAAAAATATGATAAATATAACGTTACTCTAAATATAATACCTTAATATTGCACATATTAAATTGTAATTGTTTAAAAACATGAATGAATGAATGAATACATAATTCCCACACATACAAAAAAGAAAGACATAAAGAAGGAATAGTTTGATGATAAATCATAGAACCAACTGTCATTAACCAGAAACCAAATCTTCTATACTCGAAATGAATGTGTCATCTCTGTGACCCAAATCATTAACTATTTATGTTTATAAACAATTTTTTTAATCTTATTTTCAAAAACTTAATATATGTCAAATAATAATTATGACCACTCTAAATCACACCTATTTTATGTGCAAAAGATTTTGATGTTCATGACTTCATTTATTAAATAAGCTTCAACCCAATAGTCAATAGTGGATATCATACAAAGCCATGTACAATCTTTATTCGAAACCCTTTTTCATTCTAATTAAATTTAAAATATATATATATATATATACTTTTTCTTTGTTTAAAGTTTAAAAATAAAATATGTGATATTTTGTTGAAGATACGAAGTGTCGGTAGGAGCGGGAAAAGAACAAGGAAAGAGGATGGCAAAGTCATAAAAAATTAAAGGAACGCGGCAAATTTTTATGCCAAAAAATTAGTACGGCAAGGAGACGGGCAAGACCGGGTCGTACGCTTACGAGAAATTTTTTAATTATTACAAAAAAATATAAGTGATACACTACGTGTTTTAATGGAAGTGTTAGAAAATTTTATTTTGTAAATTATTAAAAATCACATATATCCTACTATTTGTATAATAATACGTGATGTATCATTCCTTATATTGATCACACTGAAAAATCTCTCTATGTCCTGAGGTTGTGGGTCCTACGTACTTTTAGATTCGGTTTTAGAATTAAGGCCGCCGGCATAAAGCAGTTCGGACACGGAAACATAACAGAGATCCTCTTCGAATATTGTTCTTTATTTCCTTTTGTACTTTGAACCCGTATTTTTTTTAATTTAATAATGTACGCATTTTTTAATTTATATGAATAATTAGGAATATTATAATTTCAGTCTTAATTTCGTCAAAAAAAAAATTAAGTCTTAATATTCTATGGGTGGTTGTATAATTACTTAACCTACAACCAAATATTTCAGGCTGATTTCTTCCATCCAAAGTAACCAATATATAAGATATGAAGCATGATTGATAGATACTTTTTAATATGTCCATGATAGATAATTCTTACTTTATCACTATCATCACAACAACCCTCGATTTGGAGAACATTTAGTTTTTTATAAGAGATTTGTAGTTTAAGTAATTAAATGCGTTTATACATGCATTTAGGTCATATACCAAACGAATAAGTGACTAATTAATATGATGCATAGTTGTCGAACATACTCCTTCATAAACACGTGTGTCGAGAGTATGAATTTCACGACGGAAAAAAAAAAATCTCTTGTGTTCTTACAAGGAATTAGACTACTCTCCATTATATCGGCAATTAATTTTATGGTTTTTGAATTTGTTAAAAAGGAGAGAAGAAAATGACTGAATATTCACTCAAAAGCTTGTATCTTTGTGTTTCGGGCCACCACCCTCTTATGAAACCACTTACACTACTTGAAATGATGTTTGAATTGAAGTCTGCGGTGATGCACGGCGGATGAAGTGGTGATCAATGGCGGGACCTATAACTTTGGCCTGCCACGGCCCCATGAAGTTACTACAACGTAGGATGGCTTTGTCCCAAGTCACAATCAATATAAGTGCATGCCATTCTAAATCACTTGTACTGCTTTACTAACCGCATCTGTAAACTATCACCAACTGATCTAATCCACATATGTACAATCCGCATGAAAGCCTTGAGCTGTTCCAAGGGTTGTTTTTGCTAGGGTTTGAGTGGCTGAGCTGAAACTCCGTTGCTGGTAAGCCTACATGTCTTTCTTCACATGGAGGGGTTCCCATATTTGTACGCAGAGAGGTGGGTACTGATGTTAGACGTGGCATATTCTTTTTGCCTGTCAATTTTGGAGGTGCCTCTAAGTCTACGTTTTATAAGATGACGCATACCTCAGACCAATAAATAACCAAATTGAAAGATGCGACGTCTTTCTTTATTTTTTGAGTGGAAAGCTAGCTTGTAACTATTAGCTGTCTTAATTGATGTCAATTGTTTCTGATTATCTTAATTAATCAAGAAAATTAGGGATTTTGATGTCAGGCTCAAATCATTGACGACCCATTTCATGAGGTTATGGTAAACTCCAGTCTCCTAATCGGAGCTCGGTTCTTTTCAATTGTTATGAATGAGATTATGGTAAAGAGTGAGTTGTAAAAAGATTCATAAGCTGTTGTTAATTGAGTTGAAGTTACCAAATTATGAGGAGTCAGTATTAATTGTTATGAACGAGATTATGGTAAAGAGTGAGTTGTAAAAAGATTCATAAGTTGTTAATTGAGTTGAAGTTACCAAATTCTAACCATATTTTCTAAACGAACCAGAGCCAACCAGGATTAATCTTGTAAAAGATCCACAACAAAAAGAATACGTTTATTTTTCAAATGATTCATATAGTCAAGGGTATCCATTCCAATCAAATAATCCGCATATGTCAATATATCTCGTGGTAACAAACATGTATTGTTATGAGATATATCAAGATTTAGCCTTCGATTCATATTTATTTCAAATCAACCAACCTTCCTAATTCACGTTTTTGTTGAAAGAATTCCTTTTGTAATTTTTTATATAAGTATTCAGAAACTACCGGATCTCTACCTTTACAATAAGCAAATTGTTAATAAAACTCCATCTTTTGACCCTATTTTTTTAAAGAAAACTAATGAAAAGAGTTTGAAAACTTTGAGTTTTAATGATAAGGACAAAATAAAGGGTAAAGTGAATAGTACCATGATTGACTTTTTAGTGTAAAAATATGATTTTTCGTTAAAATAAACAGTACCGTAGAGTTTTCGTTAAAACTCCTATTTTTTTTCTCCTTCTCTTCATAAGTTTATTCTTATGGATATCACATCGTTTCTTTTCAAAAAGATTATTATTAAGTTTTCAGAGTCCACATGACGGCTCAGTTTCCAAAGGTCCCATTGTGTCTGCTAAATATAATTTAGGGAAAGTCTGGAAAATGAGAAGATAGGGCAACAAGTCAAATTGATAGAATTACTTTCACATGGAAGTATGGAACTCCCATGTGTGCTGCGATCCCAATAGATTTAGAAATTCCTACTGACTGTGGCAGCAGTAGTACTTAGTTATATTTTGTCCCACATCGGGAGTCCGGCAATCAACAGAAGCAGCATGGTACATAAAAGAAGAATGCGGTTCGTCGGTAAATTTACACCTTTTTCGGTTTTTTAGTTAAGATGAAGTATAGTATTTGTTTTTATCAGTTTAATATTTAATATGTAGATCATTGATCTACGTGATGTTAAATTAATTTTTTTAAAAAGAAGGGTTTATCACAGTATTTTGTTGCCGTAGCTTTAATATTTGATATGTAGATTATTGATTTACGCGATATTAAATTAATTTTTTTTAGAAAGAAGAGTTTATCACAATAGCTTGCTGCTGTAGTTCTTGCGTGTTGTCTTAGCGTTGCACTATTTCATTGGCTGGCGCACCCTACCAAACTAGTTAAAGTTGCTCTTGAGCATCGCCTTTGCGTTGGCACTATTGCATCAGCTGGCGCACCCTACCAAACCAGTTAAATGTAGCTGTTTCAATGACAAACACCCTTCCAATACTGAAGTGAACTTGAATTTTAACTTTTGTTGAATCACAAAGAACGTCAATCTAAGAACTTACAATGTTTCTTTACTAGATGGTGAGAATATAAATTTCAATTTTTTTGTCAAACAACAAAGATATCTCATGTGTACGTGGAACAAACTTAGATCACATAAACTTCGGTCGGAGGTTTTCAATGGTATTTCATCTCTTTGGTTAGGAGTTCTTGAGTATGATTCTCGAACCAGGCAACACTCATTCAAGGGTGAGATCGCGGATGACATTGTGGGACCAAAACACATGGAGTCTAGTCTTTGTGAGGGTGGTCACACCCAGTGGCGAAGCCAGGATTTGCCGAGGGGAGGGGCGAAATTCAAAAGAGTGTAAGGTTCAATCGAAGAGGTTGCTTTCACATTGGAGAGTGCAAAGTTTTTAGTCAATATTTATAACAGAAAACAGTCTCTTCACCAAAGCAGTTGTAAGTGGTAATATCAAAGTCATTTAAGAAGCTTAAATTGGTTAGGATTAGATTCTAAAAAACGTTAGGCGCTAGTCAGGCAGCGGACTGAAGCCTAGCAGCTAGGCGCCTAGGCAAGATTTAGGTAGGAGTCTAGATGAATTTAAATAAATTTCTTTTATCGTAAAATAAGCATTAAACAATATTTACATTATTTTTAAAAAATTAAGACAATATTTATAAATAATGTAATAATAATAAAAAAGAGAGAAATTGGTTAACAAACCACAAAAACAGGTGAGGTCAGAAGATAAAAAAATGACAATATAACAGGTGGCCTAATAACATTATAACACATGTCTATTTAATATTTTCCCAAGGATAATACTTGGGTACTCAATAGTGAGTACCTAATTTCACTAACTTCTTATGTGGAGGAACCATTTTATAACACATGTCCTTTAAAGTTTCTCCAAGCGCTCTGCTGTTCTTGTAACCAAACACGCGACTCTTCTTTTGAACATGTGACCAAACACACTCCACTCTTGTCCATCAATTGTGAGAATTTCAAGCATCCGTTAAGAAAAGTGAATACTTAACAAAAGAGAATGCATCGTATGTTTGCGAGCTTTCGTCCCACATCGACATTCTCATAAACAAGGGAAAGCTACGTGCCATATAAAAACGAAAACGAGACTCTCGTTCAAATCATACCTTTCTCGGCCTTTTGGCTAAGATCAAGTGTAGTATCTGTTCTTGTTAGTTTAATATCTGATACGTGAGTTAATGGTTCACATGATATTAAATTAATTTCTTTAAGGTAAGAGTTCACATAATAGCTTGCTATTGAGAATTTCGGGCGTTGCCTTTGCGTTGCACTACAACATTGGTCTGGCGCACCCTCCAAATAGTTCAATTGTTTTCTGATAGTACAAGTCGATAAAGCAAAAACTCCGAAAGTTCTACAAATAATACCCGAATCTCTCATATTTGCAGGAAACAAAATGAGGCTGCTTACCATGCGGCACCTTGGTCACAAGCTCTGTATCATTCTATGAGAACAATCTTCGGATACGACAACAAATAACTTATTAATTAATCCGTGAATTACCAGTTCTTCAATCATTCTTTTTTATTGAAAGTCTTTTTCTTCTTTTAGTTGTATATCAAGTAAAACTCCGCCTATGTCTTACATGGCCGGTCCCAAGCCCGGATAAAGGAGGAGGGGGAGGGCGTCAGGTAGTCGACAGCCGGCACTCCATGATCACGTCGAATCCTTATGAAAATGAATCCAGAACAAAATCGCGCTAAAGCTAGGGCATCACCCGTAAGTGGCGCGCTGTGTGGCCCGAGCACAGTGATAAGTGAGCAAGGGTCGCTGTATCTCCATCGGCACCCGGATGCAGTGTTAAATGAGCAAGGGGGCCATAGAAACTTCTTTTCGAACGACTCCACTCAAAGTTGTTTGGGAGCATATGCTCCTATCAACTTTACCCGGGACACACAAAAGAAGTACTTTGATCCTATTAGACGGGGGAGGGTGAAGAAGCTAGGACAGAAGGGTAGAGTTCAAGAGAGCAAAATGCGTTTAGGAACGTGGAATATAGGAACCTTAACGGGAAAATCTATGGAAGTAGTGGAAGTTATGGTGAGGAGAAGGATAAATATTATGTGCCTACAAGAAACTAAGTGGGTTAGTAGTAAGGCAAAGGATCTAGAAAACTCAGGGTTTAAACTTTGGTATTCGGGCACAAATAGAACGAGAAACGGTGTTGGCATCATCGTGGACAAGACCTTGGTACAAAGATGTTGTAGATGTCAAGAGGGTAGGAGATAGAATCATGGCAATCAAGATTGTAATAGGACAAGAACTTATCAATGTGATTAGTGCGTACGCACCTCAAGTAGGGTTGGATACGAGTTCGAAGGAGAAATTTTGGGAAGATCTTGGAGACTTGGTGCAAGGAATTGCTCAGACGGAGAAGTTATTTATAGGAGGAGATTTAAATGGACACGTGGGCAGGGAGACAGGCAACTATGGAGGTTTTCATGGTGGCCATGGTTTTGGGGAGAGAAACGAGGATGGGGAAGCTATCTTGGATTTTGCAATGGCATATGATCTCTTCTTAGCCAACACCTTCTTTAAGAAGAGAGAAGAACATGTGATCACCTACAAGAGTGGGTCGTCAAAAACACAAATAGATTTTCTTCTAATGAGGAAAGGGGATCGTATAACTTGTAAGGATTGCAAAGTTATACCAGGAGAGAGCGTGGCTAATCAACATCGCTTGTTGGTGATGGATGTACATATCAAAAGAGTAAGACAAAAGAACAAGACTTGGAAGTGCCCAAGGACTAGATGGTGGAATCTAAAAGAAAAAAAACAAGTCCATTTTCAAAGAGAAGGTAATCACCCAATGTGTGTGGGATAGAGAGGGGGAAGCTAGCCAAATGTGGGATTCCATGGCTAGTTGTATCCGAAAAGTAGCAAAAGAGGTATTAGGAGAGTCCAAGGGCTTTGCCCCACACCAAAAGGAATCTTGGTGGTGGAATGAGGAGGTACAAACAAAGGTGAAGGCTAAGAAGGAATGTTGTAAAGCCTTATACAAGGAGAGGACCGATGAAAATGGTGAAAGGTATAGAAAAGCGAAGCAAGAGGCGAAGAAAGCTGTCAGAGAAGCTAAGTTAGCGGCTTACGACGATATGTATAAACGACTAGATACCAAAGAAGGAGAGTTGGATATCTATAAACTATCTAGAGCAAGGGAAAAGAAGACAAGGGACCTAAACCAAGTGAGGTGCATCAAGGATGAGGATGGAAAGGTTCTTGCTACAGAGAACGCGGTTAAAGACAGATGGAGAGGTTATTTTCATAATCTTTTCAATGAAGGACATGAAATGAGTGCTTCTTTAGGGGAGTTGAGTAACTCAGAAGAGTGTAGAAACTACTCTTTTTATCGTCGAATCCGGAAGGAAGAAGTGGTTGTAGCTTTGAAGAAGATGAAGCATAAAAAAGCAATAGGCCCAGACGATATACCAATCGAAGTGTGGAAACTTTTGGGAGAGACAGGTATAACATGGCTCACTGACCTTTTCAATAGGATTTTGAAAACGAAGAAGATGCCAAATGAGTGGCGAACGAGCACTTTGGTGCCTATCTACAAGAATAAGGGCGACGTACAAAATTGCATGAACTATAGGGGTATTAAGCTAATGAGTCATACAATGAAGCTCTGGGAGAGAGTCATTGAGCATAGATTGAGGCAAGAGACACGGGTTTCGGACAACCAATTCGGGTTCATGCCAGGGCGCTCAACCATGGAGGCAATCTATCTCTTACGAAGATTGATGGAAAGATATAGAGATGGGAAAAAGGATTTACACATGGTCTTTATAGATTTGGAAAAAGCGTATGATAGGGTCCCAAGAGACATTCTTTGGAGGATTTTAGAGAAGAAAGGAGTACGAGTAGCATATATCCAAGCTATAAAGGATATGTATGAAGGAGCAAAGACTGCCGTAAGAACTCATGAAGGACAAACCGAAAGCTTTCCCATAACTGTAGGATTACATCAAGGCTCATCCTTAAGTCCTTACCTTTTTGCGTTGGTAATGGATGAGTTAACAGGACATATTCAAGATGATATTCCTTGGTGTATGCTTTCGCAGACGATATAGTGTTGATAGATGAAACTCAGGAAGGGGTAAATGCAAAGCTTAACCTTTGGAGAGAAGTGTTGGAATCTAAAGGTCTTCGCCTAAGCCGATCAAAGACAGAATATATGGAGTGCAAGTTCAGTGCAAATGGAGGCCAAAACGAGTTAGGGGTGAGGATCGGAGATCAAGAAATACCAAAGAGCGACCGTTTTCGTTACCTAGGATCTATCTTGCAAAAGAACGGAGAATTAGATGGAGATCTCAACCATAGAATACAAGCTGGATGGATGAAGTGGAAGAGTGCATCCGGCGTGTTGTGTGACCGCCGTATGCCACTGAAGCTCAAGGGAAAATTTTATAGGACGGCAATAAGGCCGGCGATGCTGTATGGCACAGAATGTTGGGCGGTGAAACATCAACACGTACACAAAATGGGTGTAGCGGAGATGAGGATGCTTCGTTGGATGTGTGGGCACACGAGAAAGGATAAGATTAGGAATGAGGATATCCGGGGTAAAGTAGGAGTAGCCGAAATTGAAGGAAAGATGAGAGAAAAATCGGTTACGGTGGTTTGGACATGTGCAAAGAAGGCCTACTGACGCTCCGATTAGAAGATGCGACTATGGGACAGAGGTTCAGGGCCGAAGGGGTAGAGGAAGACCTAGGAAAACTTTGGAAGAGACTCTAAGAAAAGACTTAGAGTACTTGGATCTAACGAAGGACATGACACAGGATCGAGCACAATGGCGTTCTAAGATTCATATAGCCGATCCCACTCAGTGACTTGGATTTTCCAAGTCTCCAACCGAGAAGTTTTCCTCACTCGGGAAATTAAGGGAACACTACCCCAACCTACATGCTCCACTCAGAAAGCTTCAACATACAAGCTTCAACAAAAGAAAATTCAAAGAACTTAGCGAAGAAGGCTTTGGTGTATTTAACACAATACGTTGAAATGAAGGAAAGCTTATTTATTGATATCCCCGATAAGCTACAAATATGTACATATACATGAGTCAAAATAAACACACAAGAGGGAGCCTTCACAAAGGTTGCTTAGGAGAAGTCTCAGCAGTCGGTAGAGCCCCAGAAAGAGAAGGCACCGGAGGGGGATCATTTGGAGCCTCAGTACTGGACAGAACCCTAGAAGGAGGAGGCATCAGAGGTTGATCATTTGGAGCTTCATTACGCGGTACAGCCCCAGAAGACGAAGGCAATAAATGCCTTTGGAACAAACCCACAAATCTCTGATGATCAAGTAAAACCTGACCATCAGTTTCCTTCATCTGGTCAAGCTTCCTCTTCATGTTTGTAGCATAGTCATGTGCGAGCCGGTGCAACTGTTTATTCTCATGCTTGAGCCCTCTAATCTCCTGTTTGAGACTCATCACTTCAGCCGCCAATGATTCAACTTGGCGGGTTCGAGCAAATAGGCGTTGGGCCATATTAGACACAGAACCTGCACACTGAACACTGAGAGCCAGCGAATCCTTAACAGCTAACTCATCAGACCGTTTGGAAAGTAGTCTGTTATCTTTGGGAGTGAGAAGGTTCCTGGCCACCACCGCAGCGGTCATATCATTCTTCATCACGGAATCCCCAACGGTAAGAGGACCAGTAGGGGAGACGAAGGATGGGCGCCATATGTTGTCTGGAGAAGGCGGGGCTGCCTCTTCAACAAGGTTCAAGTCAAAACGACGGTCGGAGGGGCCAGACATTTTCAAAGGTGTTGAAGAGAGAAGAGGTCGGACAAATCAAGATCTTAGAAGTGCAAGAATGAAGCTTCTACTGGTGGAGATTCAAGTGTGCTTTGGAACTTAATGCCAGCCCCTATAAAAATCTGCACTCGACGGAGCTTCAGAAATCGAAGAGGCGCCTGCTCAGAAATCGAAGAGGCGTTTGCTTTCTCAAAAGCTGGGCTGCTTAGAGATCACGAGGGTTGATCTCAGAAATCGAAGAGGCGTTTGCTTTCTCAAAAGTTGGGCTGCTCAAAGACCACGAAGGCCGATCTCAGAAATCGAAGAGGCGCTCGCTTTCTCAAAAGCTGGGCTCCCCAGAGACCACGAGGGCCGATCTCAGAAATCGAAGAGGCACCTACTTTTCCAGCCTTGTCAGCACCTGTCACACGCACACTCAGCTTTGCGGAAATTATGGGCATTCTGTCGAAGACTTCTGGGGAAGTAGAAAACACATGAATCTTACTGTTCAATCACCCACTTCCCACACGCAACAATAGCTCATGGGTACC